AGGATGGACAAAAGCAGAGATTACCAGCTGCTGTTGTACGTTCGTCCCTCATTTCTTGCAGTTTCTGCATCTCTTTCTTGAGTGGCTCAGCCAGGTCAGTGCAGCTTAGCTGGGGATGCGAGGGGAAAATTGGAATGTTTCACGCTGTTCTCCATACCCTTAAATCCTACTTAAGCTCCTGCTTTCTCCCACATAAGCCTTCTTTCAGCTCCCCCTTGAAGTACCCCAGGACCTGTAAAAGGCACCTGCTTTTGGAAGCTAGAGTAGCTGCTTCTAGACCACTTCCCACAAGGGGAGCATAGGAGGAGGTCTAGCTGTGAAGCCACGTAGTTTGCGACAAGGTCTAAGTGAAGAGTGTGCAAGAGCACAAGCTCCATGACCTAGGGGGTGCAGTGGAGCAAGATTCTGAAGTCTAAACCAAAATCCCAAAGAACAGTCCCACCGCAGACTCAAACCAAACCAGGAAAGGCTTTCAGCAGAGTTAAGAGCCGTATACCAGGCATGCACCACATACCCTGCATACAAGCAAACTGAACAATGGAATGGAAAGCCCAGATATTAGTTAGGGTACCTGAATCAGAGGAAAAACAAGGAAACTTCCAATATTGACCCTGAGCCACAGCCAAAGACTAGTGACCAACCTCTTCCTGGGAGCTCCTGCCCCAGGAAGGCACAGAAATTCCAGAATGGTAGAGTTTACCTTGCAGGAGAAGGGGTTGTTTGACAGAAATGCAGCCAGAAGTTGGATGGCATTCTTAACCACAAGTACTGATTTGTCTTGGAGGCGGCCCACAGCCAGAGACACCACTGCCTGGAACCGAGCCAAGGGCAAGGCCTGCAGCAAAGAGTGGATTGAAGAGGTTACCCAGAAGCCCTGGAGACATTAGATGTAGACTTGCATTCCTCCCTCTAGGAAAGTTCCACAGCCATGTTTCCTCAGAGCCCAGCAAGAGGCCTCATGTTCTCCCTCACCCCTTCCTAAACAGGAGAGCAATCTGAGGAGAACGCCCCCTTCCCCCGATTTCCTTCACAAAGATTCACCTTCTGCTGGACAATCCGGGTGAAGAGTTGCAGCACACGGCTGCGCACAAACCCGTTGACATCACACAAATGGGCCTGCAGCGTATCCAGAAACTGGTCCCGTGTACCCCTTGCAGCTTCCTCTAGCTGATCCCCACTCAGCACCTTCAGCAACATCTCTGCCATGGCTGTCAGGATGGCATTTCTCATTACATAGCTCTGCAGAGAGAAAATGACTCCACTGTACCAGGATCAGAAGGAGGGGAATTTCCGCAGCACCTATCCAACCAGGACTCATGCTAAGACAGCAAGGATGGTCCAGTGCTTATGTTTGGGAAACCCAAATTCAATTCTCTGCTTTACCACAGAATTCCTGTGTGACAACAGGAAAATGTGGCTGACCCCTGGAGGCTGCATCTCCCAGAGCTCCGATGCACTTAGGCCTGCAGCACTCAGGCTGACTGGAGTGCCATTTGTGGACTTTGAGGATGACTTCACATGATTCTGAGTTGAAGGCAAGCCACCCCTGCAACTTAACGGAGGGGCTCCCCATAGTGAGGAGCACCATGCCCCCTGAGGCCCCAAAATAACTGCAATTCTGCTCCTGAAGCATTTGCTCAGCAGCTCCCGTTGGCCAAATGCTACATCATAAGGAAGAAAGACAGGAATTATGGCTGCTCTATTGGTCAGGATTGGCAATTTCCCAGGAAAATCCCATTTTAAGGCCAGATTAAACCAGAAAAAATAACTGCATCAGTATGCAGCAGAAACAAAGCTGGCTTTTAAGCTAGCTCCCTATGAATGTCTGCTCCCATGGTGCTACCTGCCCTCAACCCCATGCTTGCTGTCTCTCTATCACAGGCATCAGCATGGGAGGAGGGGGAGAGCAGGCAGGAGCCAATACATGTGGGGAGCCACTTGACCCCTCTTCGCTGCCTCTGGGGAGGCTGCTCCATAGGATGCCAGCACAGCCTCTGTCGGCAGAGGCTCCTCTCATAGACTGGTTCCTACCTGCCACCCTGCACGGCTGCCTGATAGAAAGGCAGAGCGCAGAGTGGTAGGGGGCTCCCCACTGGCTGCCGGCCCCGCTCCTGGGGGACTACCGAACAATCATGTAACCTCTAAAATTTGGCACACTTACATCATTATTCAATTACACGCTATCTAACATCCTTACAGAATCCTCTACAGCCAAATGGGATTAGGATTGTAGTCTGCAATTCTGCAGTCTTGTTTCCTTAATGCTTCAGCTCTGCATCACCAGCAATTCCACATAAAAAGCAGTTGCTCAACTCTCAATTGTTCTTCAAGATGTTTTGTTAGCAATCATTCCAACCAGGTGTGTGAACATCAAGTGCATGAGTGCCAGGAACCTTTTTCCCTTAGCAGCCCATCAGGTCAACTGGGGAACCCTCTGGAATGATGCCTTCCTGGAGTTCAATATACGACCCTGTCGATCCGACCTGTCCCTTCAGTTCCTTTTTGCCCGCAACTCCCATAGATAAGCAGGAGGGTGGCTAGTGAACACGAACGCATCTCAAACGTGTGTCAGTTCATGGGGATTCCAATGGGGTGACTCCCAAGCTCTTCCCTGGAAGTGGGGTTGGAGCTATGGAATCACTGACTGGAAATCCACTCTGCTGACTACTGCGTCACTCCTAGCTTGCTGATCAATGTCATGAGTGAATGAACAGACAACCAGGCTGCCACTCTACAAATCTCTTGTATCTGCACCTGAGGGTGTGTCTAGACTACAGGGTTTTGTCGACAAAAGTGGACTTTTGTCGACAAAACTATACCTGCGTCCACACTGCCTTTGAGTTATGTCAACATAACGTCGACAAAACTCAGCAGTTTTGTTGACGTATGTAAACCTCATTCTACGAGGAATAACGCCTTTTGTTGACAGAGTTCTGTCGATAGAAGGCATTATTGCATCTGCACTGTCCTTTGCGTCCACACTGTTACGTTGACAAAACGGCTTGCTTTGTCGACAGAACTGGATGTAGTCTAGACGCTCTTTGTCGACAGAAGCTTTGTTGACAAAACCCTGTAGTCTAGACATACCCTGAGTAAGGAAGGCAGATGAAGTAGTACATGCCCCTGTGGAATGAGGGGTGTTAGCTGGAGCTGTGATTGTAGCAGGTATGGATGCAGATTGTGAGCCACAAACAGATTTGTGGTGATGAAACCAGGAGACTTTCATCCGGGCTGCAGCTATTCCAAACAACTGTGTCAATCTCTAGGATGGCTTTGTGCATGTGATGTAGCAGCAAGGACTCTGTGGCCATCCAGACAGAGTGCAGTCTCTGCTGCCTGGAAGTGGTGTGTTTCTTTAGGAAAAAACGCCAGAAGGAAAATGTCCTGTCCCCGTTGAAATTGGGACAATACCCATGGCAGAAATGCTGGGTGTGATCTAAGCTGAGCTTTGTCTTTATGAAAGACTGTATGCAGGAATTTTGGTGTCCGGGCCCTCAGGTCTGACACCCGTCTAGCTGATGTTGTGGCCACCAGGAATGCTACCTTCCATGAAAGGGAAAGGAAAGAGCATATGAGAGGCACAGGAGCCTAGAGAGCATCAAATTCAGGTCCCACGTAGGTATGGATGGTCGCAACTGCAGGTAGAGAGAGTCTCTCTATCGCCTTAAATGAACTACCATGAGGTTCATGAAAACAGATTGCCCCGAGTCCCCTGGGTGAAAGGCCAAAATAGTTGCCAGGCAGACCCTAATGGGAGAGAAAGACTCTTTTGTTTCAAGACCAGCACCAGTCCAGGATGAGAGAAACAGGGGCCAGGGAGGGTATTGAAGGCACCATTCATCGCACCAGCACAAGAACCTTTCCCACTTGTCAGTTAAATGGCTTTAGTGGCAGCCTCCCTAATTCCCAGTAGCATCTCCCCAACTGCCTACAAGCACTGGAGCGCTAGTCAATTTAGCCACAAAGCCCCACATCATGAAGCCCGCACCCAGAAGACGCCCACCATCCTGTGAGAGTCCTGGAGAAGTGGCATATCCACAAATAACTATCAGCATTGTATACCAATGCTAGTGGAGCTACCAGCAATGCCCTTGCAAACTAAATGAAGGTTCAACCACCAGCGCAGGGAGTGGTAGACTTGTGAAGGTATTAGTGGCCAATGTCCCTGCGCAGAGTGTGTTGTGTCTTATGCACCACTCGTGAGGTCATGTGTGCTTGGCACCTACCAGTTACTAACAAGTATCATATATACAGTGAAACCTTTGTTATCCAGCACTCTGTTAACAAGAAAACTTTAACTGGCATTACCCTCAGCCATACCTTCAGGGGCACAGACTCAGGTTGGTTTACCATGATTGGCTTAACAATTTTTTATTTAAGAAGTACTAATCGTCTTTAACTTAAAATGAGACCAACTGCCCCTCACTACAAAATTACCAATATTAAAAACTTGAGTTTTACTATTATTGTTCAATAGTTTTTCCTAGGTTGATAGGACCCTCAGATAATACTAGTCTACAATTTAGAAGTCATCTGCTTCAGAGATAAAATGTGCTATTTATTATGTATTTCGATGTTCTGAATTCAAATATGACAATTAAAACTACTGATTGGGTACTGTTTCCAAGATATTTAAGTTTTTACATCTATGTATATTGTGTAGAGTTTTAATCATAAATTGTAAACCTAGGTCTTTTCATGTGTTTATGGTTGCTTTACATGATAATATTTCACCTGTCCTGTTTATGTAACTCTTTAAAAATCAGCAAAAGAGTTATATAAATAAAAATTATGAAACAAAAGGCAAAAAACCATTATGTACATAGTTTAGTCCTATTCAGTGTCTACTCAGTGCTTCTTGGCTTGTCTCTTGTATTCATTAAATGGAGCATCTCTTGTGTCTGTCCAGCAATAGTCTGCAAGCATTGAAGGGCTCCATTTTCCCTGATAGTGTTTCTCCATTGTTGCAATGTCCTGGTGACCAAAAGTTGCTCACATGAGCACTCTCTAGATGAGAGTGCAAAAAAATGTATCTTTTGTGACATGTTGCAACCAAGGCTTTTGTATGCCTTGAGGAGGTTTTCCACCAACAACCTGTAGTTGTCTGCCTTGTTGTTTCTGAGAAAATTTATTGCCACTAACTGAAAGGCTTTCCATGCCGCCTTTTCCTTGCCACGCAGTGCATGGTCAATGCATCATCTCAAAGAAGTTCATGAATCTGAGGACCAACAAAGACACCTTCCTTTATCTTAACTTCACTTAACCTTGAAAATTTTCCATGGAGGTACTTGAAAGCTGCTTGTGTTTTGTCCATGACCTTGACAAAGTTCTTCATCAGACCCCGCTTGATGTGTAAGGGTGGTAACAAAATCTTCCTTGATTCAACAAGT